CATGTCTGTTATGATCGAACCATGAAAATGTGAAACATTAACGAAGATGGATGACGTGGAACATGCCTCATTGATGTATTGTTTCTTCTCACACAGATCCATCGCTTTGGATATATCATAAACAGCTGTTTTGCGGAGGTATGGCAGAAGACGTTGTGGTTCATGATCGGCATACAATCGAATTGCCAAATCGGCAAACTCGTCGCCTTCATTCCTTTCGAAAACACTATGTAAATACGCCAGCTAAAACTCATCCAGAATCCTGCTCATTGAACGAATGTCTGTTCCCTATTGTATTCCTCCTCTTCCACTTCCTTCCTCTTAATTTTCCCTCATCCTCATCTCTTTCATCTCCGTTCCCTTCGTCCTTCGCCGTATTTCTGTGGCATTAATGAAATAAAAAATCCTATCTAAAAAACTTTAAAAAAGAATCGAAAAAAGACACCGCCTTTCGACTAGATTAGTAAATTTTCCCTTTCTATTTTGCATCCTCCCGCCCAATTACAATCTTAATTCAATCTTCGGCAATTTTTCCCACCCAAAACGATGATTTTCTCGCATTATAGCGCAAAACGAGGTACTGAAAACAACTACAAAGTCATCGGAATTTAACAGTACTGCACTAGCAAATCCTCGGCGAATATCAGAGCGAAAAAAAAAATTACTTGTAACTTGGGGTACTTGGAGATCTGTGTGAGGACTGTTCTTGCCGGCAGGCTTCCAGCATTTTCAATCAGCAGTCGAATTGTTAAGTCCTTATCAACATTCATTAGTTTTGCTAGATGATCCTTCACCTAGAACATCGTTTACCTATTTGTTAGGGTAAAGAAAACCGCCGAATTATTTATTGCAGGATTATTTATTCATATCTGTCATCACTAATACTTCCATAATAAAAAATATTAGTCCCGTGAGACTGATACAGTCATCAAAGAAAAGGTAGGCTGGTCATGCGGCAAGAATGAAAGAAAGTGGAATAAAATGGATGTTTGAACTGTATCCATCCCAATGCAACAAAAGGATTGGACTTGAACGGTTACATGGAAATCAGCGGATAAAAGGTACTAAAAATAGGAAAAAGTGACGAGACTGACGTGATAAAACCACGTTCTCATGATTTATCAAGTCGTCAGGATCAAAACTTACCAGATCAAAAAGATGATATTTTTCGATGATTTGAAAAACACTTTTATCATTTAAAGTGATATATAACATCAGTGCCTTATCGTACTTCCGTTCATAAAGATGAAGCCTGGCCAGAGCACGGTAGATTGCTGCCGAGTCGCGTTCCAGTAAGGGATTCCTGCCATCTTCTTGA